GGGGGGATCATTTATTGGTTTAAACAGATTAAACCACAAAGCTTCAGAGGTCATGGGGAAGGGGAGGATTTAACTGAAACTTGTCAAAGGTCCAAGAGACCTGAAAGCAAAATTGTTTGGGAGTAAGGTGCAAAGGAACGCCAAATATGGATCAGTTTTGCATCCCTTACATATGCAAATTTCTACTGCACTGATGGCTCTGAATTTAATCTCTTCAGGAATTTACAAAGAGAACACTTTATTTGTTTCCACAAGCTACCTCTGATGAAGGTTTAGTGGCTATCAGTATTTGGACAGCCCAATGCATCCACTTGTGAGACCAATGGAAGAATTAAAAATGAAGGTTGTTGTTGTTGTTGTTGTTGTTGTTGTTGTTGTTGTTGTTGTGCCTTCAAGTCATTTCTAAGTTATGATGACCTTCAGGTGAACATATCATGGGGTATTCCTTGCAAAATTTGTTCAGAAGAGGCTTGCCCTTGCTTTCCTCTAAGGCTGAGAAAGTGTAACTGCCCAAGGTCACGCAGTGAGTTTCCATGGCCAAATGGAGATTTGAACCCCAATGTCCCAGTGTCTTAGTCCAGTACTACACCACACTGGCTTTCTTACCTGCAAAATTTATAAGTAATTTATATGATCTTCCTACCAAATGTTACACAGAATTTAACAGAAAGTCTGGGAAGCCTATTTAGGGTCAAGTGTGCAATTCTGACTTCAAATGCATCTTAAGTCCTTTCTATGGGAGATCTCAGTTCAGTGGCCATTTCAGTTCAACACCAACTTATGCATTCATTCTATTTGTCAGCAAGAACAATTACAAGATTTTAATTTGGAGCCTCAAAAATGCAAATTAATTCTTTGAGCTGGGAATGAGAATATCATTCATCATAAACTTCAGAGTCTGATTTGAATTCTCTTTAACCCACACTAACCCAAGCTGAATATAGGCCCAGTCAAAAGCAAAACAACTTCAGGGATGTGAGCATCCTCTGCAAAATGAACTGTGCCAATTGGGAGTGGTTGTTTTGTGTCTTGGATAAGTTCGGATGCTAATGATTTTTCTTTCTTTGGGAGGATAAGTATCTCTGAACACTGTCTTTATTTGCAGGAAGACCATTATAGTGTTGCAGTTTAGTTGGTTTTATTAAACAATAACTGTGTGTGTGTGGTTGGGACATAAGCTATTCTGTGCAGACAATATCACTCAGGTTTCCCTTGGGAATATGGAGGAGTAAGAGCCCATTTTCAGTCTAGAATGCTTCGGTATGGGAGCAACAGGTAGGAGCAGTGTATACTTAGGTCTGATATGTATTACCCATGAAATAACTCTCTGCCCTTGCATATAAGGGCATCTGTTTGTTAAACTATCACATAATGTGATGGCTACACACATTTTTAGTGCACATTTATTCCTGATTCTGGATATCTTTGTGCTGACAGAAAAGCTAGGAATCTGCTCTCCATGAGCTCAAATGAAGGCTTTACCAATGGACTTATACCATTGATACTTTTCAAATCCTCAGTCATACATTCCTCACATCCATTTGATTGTCATCTCAACAACCAGAGCAGAACATAAGCCAACACTGGCACCATCTCATCCTCCTCCTCCACTGAGTACAGACATGCCACTATAACCATAAAGACAACTTGAGACGTTTCACCACAAACAGAGTGATGGTATCCCCCATTACGTTAAGTTACATTCAAGAGGTAGTTTAGTTATACGTTTGTCACTGGGAAAAGGAACTGATTATAAATAACTTTCTATTTGTAACTAGTTCCTTCCATGTTCCAATTTTAATGACTAGTTTACTTTTCTGGCTACTCTGGATCAAAGAAATGGAAAATCCTGGCAGAGAGGTGAGAGAAGTAAACATAGAATGTAAATCTATAGTGATATGTTTTTAAAAAACACATGTTTGGCAATCATTTTGTAATTATGTAATTACAAGTAATTATTTGATGCCCATAGCTGAGCATTTGCTGCTTCTACCCTTTGCCCCAGACATACCAGTTGACTGTTTTTACTAAGGGAAAAAACAAATAAAAGGAACAACACAGAGATCTTTCCATGGAAATTTTCCTCTAACTTAACTCCTTCCCCGCCTTGATCCCAATCTCCATCCCTTTCTGCCACTGAACAATCAAGTCATCATTTTCTAATTACCGCTTTCTCCAAGAATGTAATTTGGGTGGATGGGGGGAGGCAAGGTTAGAAGAACTATAAACTCCCCCCATATGTAAATGATTGTTGCATTGCTAGACAGTATCCTTTCAATTAAATTCCAACACGGCTCTATCAGATTTCGGCAGCTCTTTTGCCACACTGAGATAATTTCTGGAGGCAAGACACCTGGCTAAGCTAGAGCAGTGATTAATTTTATGAGTTTAGGGTGCAGTCATCACTCACAAAGAGGCTTAGGGTTGGAATGATGGATGATGGGTAAAGTATAGCCTGATAGGACACGGCCCATGAATCTGTTCTACATCATCAGCTGCTTTGATCACTGGCAGAAGTTCAGAGATACTTCTTCGCATCTGTCCAAAATAAACAACACTACCATATATACGCTCTCCCCTACTCTGCCTCTCCTTCCCTTTCCTGCAGCCTTGCCTTTCCACATAGACTTGTTCAGCAGAGGCAGAAAGAAAACAAATATGACACTTCCCCCCCCTTTTTTTCTACACAAAATGCCAACATGTGAAAAGAAAATAACAATTTTGACACAGGCTTAGGTGTCCTCCCTGTCAAGAAAATATGCCCACAACTTGTCTGTGCATGCATGCTGTGAGTTGCCTTTACTGAGTCACAGAAAATGTCTAGAATGGATCATATATATGATCGATGTCTAACCATGGATCAAAGGGTGGCCATGCATGTGGCTGTATAGAGGATGTTCTTTTATCTGAAGATGTAGGGCTAGCCTGTCCAACTGTGGTCTGACATCTTTTTTGACACTGGTGAAGCATCAATTTCCATCACCATATTTATGAGTATCCAGTGTGACATAGTGGTTGGAGCATTGGACTGCAACTCTGGAGACCAGGGTTCGATTCCCAGCTCAGCCATGAAACCCACTGGATGACCTCAGGCAAGTCACATTCTCTCAGTCTCAGGGAAAGGTAATGGCAAACCTGCTCTGAACAAATCTTGCCCATGGTAGGGTTCCCATAAGTCTTGAAGGCACACAGCACACAGCACTAGAAGACAACAGTTGTCAGCTGGATGGTGGATATGGATGGAGCTTCCTCTGTACCCAGAAAGACGCCATTTGAGTTGGGAAGATGGAACTGGACCCAACATCTATGCAGCTGTTGTTGTACAATCTGGTGAAAACTATTGTGCAAAGAGGTACTGGATACCTCCCTTAGATGATGTTATAAAAAGTACTTACACATGTGTATCCTCTGGTTACACAAGGGAAAATCACATTTCTGGTAGAGGACCAAGAGATCTTAAGGTTATTTATTGACTGTTTGCAGCTGGGGTTCTTTCACAGTACCCAGTTATAGCATTTGGATTCCACTTTAACTGCCATGGCAACATCCTGCAGGAATCCTGGGGTTAGTAGTTCAATTGATCAAGCAAGCAATATTTATTATTGCAGTCCATAGATCCATCAATACAAACAGAAATTATACAATTTTAAGTAGGATACAGTTTGCCATTCCATAACCACAATAAAACTGACATACTCAATAAAAAAAAAACCACCAACGTTTTAGATATTCTGGCCAATTATAGGAGTTATCTTCTCCCTAATCTTAATTACTAAACTCAAGAACTTGATGTAACCAACAGGGTTACATTAGAACATTTATTCTTTAATAGAACTTTAACATAAAACTTATCTGATCTGCCAGGTAAATGGCTTAATAAAGGAGAAATCAACTATACAAAATGCAAGATAGCAAAATATGTGACTAAATGGGTCTCCCTTCATTGCAAGTCCTTGGATCCCATAGGATGGAATATGCTTGATAAAGTGGAATCACAGTGGTATAATTTAGCAGTGGACAGATCACAGGCTAAGGAAGACATATAGGTCAGTCATACATTCACAGTCTTTCCCACTGTGGTGAGATGTGTTGAGCTTTTGTTTAAATTGCAATAACTTACAGATTTCACTTAATATCTATCTTTTTTTTAAAAAAAATAACTTTATTGAATTTTTTAAAATATGATTACAAAGGGGGAAAATGGGGGGAAAAGAAGAAAAATGGCGAGGAGTATATAAGATATAAATATTGGCTAGATATATATACATTAATATGAACTGAGCCTGTGTCCAAAAAGACATTTAAAGCTGTAGTTTGCAAAATACATATTAATGCAGTAAGATCTTCTAAAATTTGAATGATAGATGTTGAATGTTCATGTCCCCAACCTTGGAGTTTAAATCTTTCTGCAACAGTAAAAGTGCACAGAATTTAACCATGTTGATATATGCATACAAATTTGTTGCTCTGTGCCTTCAAGTCATTTCTGACCTATGGAGACCCTAAGGTGAACTTATCATAGGATTTTTGTGGCAAGATTTGTTCAGAGGCGTATGCCATTGCCATCCTTTGAGTCTATGGACTTTATCCCACACTGCTCTCAAAAGTGGCAAGAAAGCGATATGAGCATCATTCCAGTACTATAGCGCTAGTATAAATATGGCGCTAGCACTATAATAGCGCTATGGATCAGCTCGCGCTATTGCAGTGCCCGCTGAAACCGACATTCAAAAGAATGCGAATGATGCTGCATTCCAAGCGGTTTCTTGCTGGATTCTGAGCGACGTCGTGTAATCACACGGAAAAATATAGCACTATAGCGCCTGATTCTTAGCGGATTCTGAGCAACGTTGTGTAATCACGCGGGAATGTATAGCGCTATAGCGCCTGATTCTTAGTGGATTCTTGCTGCTTTTGGCCCCGTGTGATAAGATCCTATGAGAGTGTGATTCAAACCCTGATCTCTAGAGTTGTAGTCCAACACTCAAACCAGTACCCCACACTGGTTCTCTCTACATATATGGAGAAGAAAAGAAGGTACATGTCTATATAAAACATATATTCATATATACAAATATACAAATAAATGCACATATATATTATAAAAATGGCTGCTTTCTTTTCTTCTCTTTTTATTATTTGTTATTAAACAACAATGCAAAGTGATAAATACATACATTTTTTCATGCATTTGCAGGCTTTCTACCTGGTTTGGAGGCAAAACAATGTATAAAATTGTGCCATTTTTTTTTTTAAGAGAGGTAGCATCCATGTCCTCATCAGCATGCTGAAAGGATGGGAGTTGTAGTTTGAAGGCACCAGATTGAGAGAAATGGATCAATCCCTTCTTTCCTGGGCCTGTTCAAAGCAGGTTACTTAACCAGGCTGTGCAACAGGACTGACCCAGTATCTAATGGCCTACAGCCATGGAATGACCTATATCCATTTCACAGATACATCTTACATCTTGGAAAGGATTTATGAGAAAAGACCGTATGATTTGTCTGGAGGATCCTAACTCTTTGGAGGAGAAAGAGAGAGAAATATTTCTTTTTGCATTTTTTTCTTCCTGGTGTAGAACCAGCCCTGGACCAATGGACTGAATTGTACACCATTTTTAAAAAATATGTTTGTGAGAACACTTTGGTTCAGTCTTACAGTCATTGCTGGGATGCAAAGACATTTTCCAGACACTGCCTATATTATTATTTCCTCTCTCTGTCACTAATGTAGGTGGTGGCGAGAAGTTATCTGAAATCTTTGCTGTCAAAGGGAGGACAAATGAGAGATCGCAACCTGTTTTTCATATGGACGATCTGAAGCAGAAGAACCCTGCCCTGAGTCTCCAAATCAGACCTTTCTTTTGTAGCTCAATTAGCAAAGTACAATTTGGATAATTGAAAGCAAATGTTCCTTCCTTTTATCACATGATTTTTCTCCACTGTTCTTTACCCAATACTGTCCCCTGCAGGGTAGAAAAGAATCAGATCTACAGGATCAGAGAAGTACTTGTATGCATGTTTGTGTGTGTGTGTGTGTGAGAGAGAGAGAGAGAACATAGGCTATGTCTTTTCATATTTAACTTGTGCATCCATTTACCTTTATGTCTGATTTGCTTCCACACTGATCTGTGAATTTCTGTCCAAAAAAATTGCATGGAAATTTCTATTTAAATAATCTTCTTGAAAAATTAGTATTAGCATTAGTATCAGTATTACACCTTTCCCCTTAATACTGAGACTCAATGTGGGTTACAAATTGTCCCTATCAGTACAATTTTAAAAAAAATAACTCTCTCCAAATGGCACATGGAAATGTATCCTCTCTTTAAAGATGCATTTTCCATTGCATTTTGATGCAAGTGTTCAGCTGAGAACAGCATCAAAGAATTTGGGAAGTACAAAAAGTTTGCATACCACACATGTTGGTCTGGGAAATCAGTTCTTGTTGGACTTCATAGATATTGAATTCCTGAAGTACTCATTGTGTGAGTTCATGAGCACCCAAATACAAAAACACACACACACACACACACACACACACACACTTAGAGTAATGGGTAATCTGGTCCTGGAATCACTTGGCATTTGGTGCTGTTTAAAAAAGAGAGAGAGAGAGAAGGAAATAGCAATCAAAAATAGCTACTAGAGATGTCAGCTTTGCTCCTTGTTTTATATCATGGAATCCATTGTCAAATGAGCACTGTACAACTTACATAATATCAGGTTACCCTCTCAAATATTTGTCACCCAGTACTAATGTGTACATATGATGCAAGGAGGGAATGATCTGGCTCATATCTTATTTATCAAAAACGACAAGTGTTTCTTTTTTTAGTTTGGCATTGCCTGCATTCTGTTTTGCATTCCCTTTCTGAACTGCATCATGTTCGCCCATTCTTTGAAGTGTCTCATCAAATACAGCTAGGGAAGTCACTTATATCTTTAATGGACTTCCTCATAGGGTTATCTCATTTAATATGAACAACAGCTGTTCCATGGTGGTAGCGGAACTGTTGAAAAAGAACTGGAGGAACAGCACCAAATGCCATGTGACTCCAGGACCAGATTACCCCTTACTCTAAGTGCACTATAGAGTAATAGCTAAGAATATGATTGTAATGTGGCATAGTTATCCATGGTCTTCTTATTTGACTGAGTAATCTGACAGCTTCACTTGTTGTTTGTTGTTAACCACCTTTGAGTCAATTCTGACTCATGGAGACCCTGTGGATAAGACATCTCCAAGACTCTCTGACCTCCACTCCTCTGTTTAGGTCCATTTATACCCATGACCTCTCTAATACAGTCTACCCATCTGGCATATAGTCTTCCTTTCTTTTTTTACTTCACTTCATCTTTCTTTGTATTCTTGTCTTTTCTAATTAGTCATGTCATCTCATGATGTGGCCAAAGTACAACAGTCTCAATTTGATCATCTTGGCTTCCCCTGAGGTTTCAGATTTGATCTGTTCAAGGAGACATTTCTTTCACCTTTTGGCTGTCCATAGTCTCCTTAGCACTCTTCTCCAGCACCACATCTGAAATTAATTAATTTCTTCTTACCCTTTTTCTTTGCAGTGAATCTCTCACATCCATACATGGAGATGGGAATACGATGGCTTAGAAAACCTCACTTTAGTGTTCAGAGTTATATCTTTATGCTTTATGATCTAGTCCAGTTCTTTCATAGCGGTCCTTCCCATTCCTAGCCTTCTGATTTCTTGACTGAAGACTCTTTCCTGATCAATGTTTGATTCAAAGTATGGAGATTTTTTTATTAATTCAATTTCCTCACTGTCTATGTTGAATGTACCTAGGTCCCCCATAACCATATTTTTATTTTCTTTATGTTCAGCATTAAGCCTGCCTTTGCACTTTCTTCTTTAACCTTCCTTAGTAATTGTTCCAAGTCCATTATCTTTTCCACTGCTAGTATGGTGTCATCTGCATATCTTAGATTGTTGAAGTCCCTTCCTCCTATCTTTACTCCTCCTTTTCCCAAGTCTAGGCCTGTCTTTTTTGATATTTTTCACATACAAGTTGAACAAACAAAGTGATAGAATGCAG